TGATGCTCTTCTCTCCTCTCAGCACTTAGGAATCCACTTCCGTACCAGTCCCCCCACCCGCACCCCCCACCTTGGGGCTTGGAGGACGTGTGAAGGCCAGCCTCTCTGACTCAGGGATGGTAACCAGAGGTGAGCTAACTCATCCTTGACAGCAGCGCACAGGAGGAACATTCAGTGGAAAATATTGAAAAGCCCTGAGCTCCTTTGTGCCAGTAGTACAACCTCCTCCTCCAGCACATTCTGCTAAGGGTGTGTGTTTTGTGGGTGTTTCCCTGGCTCACCCCTGCATGATGACAGATCTGTGGAAATGAGGATGGAGCAAACATGGGAAGAATGGGTCAAGGACGTGGAGAGCCACACACCGAGTGGGAACTTGACTGTACTTTCCTCTTTACCCAGAATAGTGATTAAAGCTGGGGCAAATTAAGAAGGGTGATGGCCGCCCGTCTCTCTCCCTCTTTGGAGATGGCCCCCATTCTGTCTGTGGAGTGTGTACCTGCTTTTAATCTGAGCACCCAACCCCCACACCTTGTGGCCTCTCTCTTGCCTTTCAACGTATCTCTCCGAATAAATCTACCTTCACTCAAAAAAAAAAAAGAAGGTTGATTTTATTTATTTTGCCTAATTTACACTGTTGCAGGCTGGACGGTTTTGCTTTTGTCCGATACAATTTTCATAACCAAGCACAGGGCAGCTGGGTAGCTCCAAGGCAGCCATGGTTGCTTTGGAAATACTTAACTACTGTTTTCTTGGCTGCAGACGCTGAGTGCCCTCCGTCAGGGCAATGTGTGGGCTGTGACTCACCGATGGTGAGGCTGTCGGATGAGCTGTTTTCAGACAACTGCAGCAAAGCTAGTTGGATCCGTTTCCACTTTCGTAACCTGCCACCCGAATCACCCAGCGAGCACATACGAGGCCCCGATAAGGCGTTCTGGTTTTACAGAAGAGTTAGCAAGTCCTTGCCCTCTGAAATGAGGTGGGCAGTCACTACAGAGGCCCACTCATACCCTGAGGAAACAGCAGTCAGCGGCTTGATAGCGTGTTCTGGTCAGAAGGGTTTGCTGGTGTCACCAAACCAAACGTGAATCCGCTCGCCCGCGCGCAGTAAAGCCAGCCTCCTGACATCAGGTCGCAGGGAAGGAAAGTGCAGTGTTTACTGCAGGTGCCAAGCAAGGAGTTCACACAGCTGGTGCTCAGAATGCCCGAACTCCCCGACAGGTTTCAGCAAAGCATTCTAAAGGCCGGGTGAGGGAGGGGAGCTGCAGGGCATGTGGTCAGCTTGTGCACAGTTGTCTGGTTGATGGTGAGGTAAAGGGGGTGTCGCAGGGGTTAACATCACCCATCCTCAGGCTCCCTAGGCCTGGGGGCTCTGTGCTCATGGTCATCAAGCAGTTAATTTCTTCCCTTGGGTGGGGGTGTAGTGTCTGTAAAACAACTTAGGGAATGCGCATTGGGCACTATTATCTGGGTCCTTCAGAGAGGAGCTAAAGCAGACGGTATGGGGGAGGGGTCTGTCCCGGGAAGGGTGCTGCTCGGTTATGCTAGGTGCTAGTTGTGATCAGCAGAGATGGATCAGCTCAGCCACTATCACCCAGGGCTCCAGGAGTCTCACTCTCAACTCTGCGGAACTAGATAGTTGTCAAACCACTGGCCAGGGTTCAGCCGCTCGTGTTCTCAGCACCAGGGGGGCCACACACAGAAGTGCACATGTGGTTTCTCACAGTCCAGTAGGAGAAATTAGACTAATGACCAAGAAACAATGATAAAACAACCAATATTTTAAATTATAGTAGCAGTTTTACACATAATCGATTTATTCAAGTTATTCTTTAACTCAGCCCATCTTAAGTGAGTAGAGCACGGCCTCTGCCTCGAGGAGCTAAGTGTCTGGGGGAAAACAGACACGTAAGCAAGTAACGCGAATAACATAACAGAGTAAGTGCTCTTCTGCGCGGGCCCAGAGTCACAGCTGCTGGTAGCAGTCCCGAGGTGTGAGTTTCTGTCATTTGCAGGTAACTTATTTTTTTAGTCTCCTTGAGGAAACTGAAGGGGAAACACACATTGTTTGCCCAAATCCACAGTTATTGGCAGAAAAAGGACAATGACACAAGTTTAATGGTGCCTAAATCTGACCTTTCACTAAATTTGTAATTTCAAACATTTTTCTTTTAAGTAGCCACATGGTGCATTTGCAAAGGCAGGTCCAACATGTGTCTTCAGGCTTCCTGGTGGGAAAAGAACCCCCCTGATCCCACACTATATGGGGTTCTATTGACAGAAATAGATTGGCTGCTGCTCAGAAGAAATTCAGCTATTCCTGGTGCAGCAATCGCCAAGAGGTGACTCCAGAGGTAGGGTGGGAAGGATGCTAGCCAGTTCCTCCATGAACAGAGTTATCTTTCTATGTCTCTCTCTTTTTTTAATAGAGCCTCTAAATGCTAGCTGATGAATATCTCCAAAGGATAATTTAGAAATTATAGTTTTATGAAGAGCCAAGACAAGGCTGGCCAAGTATGCAGGGCTGAACCCAGGGTAATATTTAGAACATCCAGAGGAATGGATAGACTCCATGTCCCAAGGCAATGCTCCAAAAATACTCTTTCTCACAAGTAGGGTTTTTCATGCTGTTTGGACAAGGGAGAGCACGTGCTCTAAGTAAGGGGTCGAGAGAGGAGGGTGTCAGTGTGGCCGACCAGGTGCTGATTCAGAGGGGATGCAGCCGGCCGTTTACTACCATTAAGGAAACTGCCCGATGCTGTGTGTACATGGGTGACAACCGCGTCACAAATGTTCCCCAGGCACTTGACATTCTCCCTGCAAAGGTGCTCATGCTGGGCGGGAAGAGTCTTTCTGGCAAATTCCAAATACCGAGGTGAGGGATTGGGAGGCTCAGGGCTGGGGACCTAGCCTCCCACAGCTGGTTCTGATCTGGGTTTGGGTCCTTCCCAAGGTCTGCCCAGGAGGGCCGCTTCTCCAGCCTCCTCGTAGGTTTGCGTCTCCTGGTGTGGCCCCCGCTGGGGGTTCTGCTCCCCACCGTGTTCTCACGTGCCTGTGTCTAGTGGGAGGAAAACAAATGGCAGGGGATGGAAAATGCATTTCTCTTTAAGACTTGCTGTTTAAGAAACGTGCACTGAAAGTAAAGACCTTCCTTGGGAGAGACCCAACGGATCCCGGCCCGGAGAGGCTAGGAGAGGCAGGGCGAAGATTCCCTCAGGCCGATGGGATTCAGATCAGAGTTCTGCTCTCAGGGTTTTATCTTGGACTTTTATCTGACCAGTGGGATCTGAAGTCCCTTTTGCAGGACTGGAAGGCAGAGGGCGGGGCCAGCCCTGCTCTGCGACCTTGTCAATCAAATGGATGGGTAAAGCATCACTCATCACTCTAGTCAAGTTTGCAAGTCCACATTTCTAACATACCTGAAGTTGTTCTACGCCAAATGGTGAACCAAGACAATTGGTCCTAAATGAGTTGCCCGCCACTCTGGGGATCTGCTGTCTCCAGCCCTGACTCAGGGGCCGGTCTTCTTCCTACGAGGGTGAGCGCTGGCCCCTGCCCCACTCACTGCCCTTGTCTCAGTATGGGCGACCCACGCCCTTGCTATGCTATGCTATGCTACGCTTGCAGCTTTCTGACACTCGGTGCTGGGCTTTGGGGAGGCACTTGATGGCTGTCTCCCTGTAACAAGGGCTCAACATTTAGAGTAGAGCAGAGTTCCGTCCAAACGAGGAGAACATTCTAGGATGTGACTGGAATCCACTGGGCGTCCCTGGGGTGAACACTGAGCAAAGCCCACGTGGCATTGAGGAGCTTTGGAACTTAAGAGTAAACTCTTGATGGAAGAAAGGAATTCTACCACGTGTGGGTCTACTAGTAGGGTCCACCACCTAACGGGTCTACCACTCGTGGGTTCTCCCACTTATGGGTCCACTGTACGGCCTCCTTGGTTCCTAAGCTCCCTCCTTCTTTAACCCCATAAAGCCCCCTGCAGTCCTTCTCCACCATGTTTCCCTGTCGTTTGACGGGAGAAAGAAGCGTGTTGTTTCTCTAGGGAACCTGTGGAGGTGAAGCTAGAATTCCTTCCGCACTGGACACTTGGGACCATAAACTCTTCATTTTCCCTGGGCTCCCCTGGCTCCGTTACTCTTTCTCTCTACGTTGCTCTTCCTTAAACTCTCCCTACCTCTCAAGAGGAGGATGCTTACTCACAAAGACAAGCCAGGCACAGAAATAGCCAACCTATTTGTGGCTTAAATGCAAGCAGTTTTATTTTTGCAGAGTGGCTGTATTTTCTCTGAGTAGAAATCATTATCTCCCACCAGCGAGACTCCAGCTCCATCTGCAAGAGTTCCTGCTTTTGTGAGCGGTGCCAATTAGTCACAAAACAGTGGGCACCTTCTCCTGACCACTCAGTCCGGGGGAAGAGAGCCCCAGCTCTTCCAGGCGCTGCCCGACTGGCCAGCCCCCCACGCCCACCCCAGGTCCTCTCCCCCTACCTGGACCCTGTCCGGCCCCTCCAAGCACCACTTCCTGGTGCCTTGTTCCTCATTCACCTTGTAACTGTTACCAGTTTCCAAACTGGGCACCGTGTCGTTCCCTGCAGTATGGACAGATGTCTCTGATCTGTTAGGAGCTGGGGAAGGCAAATCAGTGAGGCCCTCTATTCTGTGACGTTGGAGACTTCCCTCCCGTTGGTCCCTCTGCTCGGCGTTTCACAGCCCCCGAAGGGACAGGGTGAAACGTTCATAAGATCTGGACGGTTCCTGAGATTCTGAGAAGCAGCAACCGTGGAGCCGAGGAGCGGAGCCCTCTGCTCTCCTTCACTCCCCTCTCCCTCCCGCTCTCTTCTTCCTGCCCCTGACCTTGACACCTTCTCAGCCAGCCTGCTCCTTCTCTCCTAGCCGTGTCTTCTTCGGCAGGTCTGATGCCCTCTCCACGGAGGGCTCCTTCCTCTCCGCCTGGCCATTTGCCTTAGACAGCCCGGGCTTTCCTCGCAGTTTCTGATTATCCTGTGGGAAACGTAAGATCTTCAGGAAGATCACCTTTCCTCCCTTGGAACATCAAAACCAGGTAACCAAAATGCTCGCTGGCTTCCCGGGACTGAGTTCATCCTCTCTTTCAATTTGCCACTCAGCACCTGCCTCCCTGTAGACGCCCCGACCTCACCTCACTTTGCCTGTGGCTTGAAGGTCTTGTGGGGCTTGCCCCGGTCCCCCCTCTCCTCTTCCCATCGGAGGATGGACCCACAGGTCGGGTTTCCCACTAGAGCCGTTTGGCTCGCCTTCCGTCTTGCTGCTTACGAAAACAGTCCGAGGAAGCTTCACATGTGGGTTCCTAAGTCTGTTTTCCCAGAGAATCTGAAGTCTGCCTTCTTGCCCTGATTGATTTAATCAGTCCCAGGAGCCCATTACTACACTGACACAATTACTGTGAAGGAATACTTTTCAAAAAAAGAAGACAGAAGTGCTGCTGTGAACGTGGGGAGGGTCGTCCCACAGGGCTTGGTGAGTCCGACCTTCCAGAATCCTCCGGCTTGGTCTTGGCATCTTTACATTGGGTCTGTTGAAAAAGGGAGCAGGGGCAGGGGAAAAAGTTACTTGACTGCCTGGGTGAGAATCTGCATCTAACAGAAACAGCCGCTCCCAGGAATAGTCTTCAAATCAGGCAGAGCAGCCGTCGGGACGGTGATGTTCCTCCATCCCTGGGAGCCTGGGTCCTCTCTCTCACCCCCTCCGTGGCATCGCACTTCCACACTCGAGGGGGCGTGAGACTCTCCGAGTCTGGGTTGTAGGAAGGGGACGGAGGTGGAGTTCCCTAACCAGGTGTCCTCACAGGGCAGGCGTTTACCTTCATCTCATTTAACCATCGCGACTTTTGATGGCCACGATTTACTCCATTTACAGGTGACAAAACTGAGTCTTCCAGAGCTTGGCAGAGATCACTTGGCTAATTACAAGCTGAGTCGGGAATTTGAGCTGGGTCTGTCCTTCCGCTCCACACGTGATTTTGCCCTTCCAAGCAGCCTCTCCCTGCGTCATCTCTGTCCTCAGCCCTGGCTGGCCCTAGTTGCTTAAAGGGATCAATCACCTCTAAGTATCACTTGCTCGTTCCCGCTCTGGGTCTGCGGAGACTTTCACTCGAGCATGTCGCTGAGTGATGCCATTTGAAGCGCAGCTTCTGCTGATAAGCGTGGGACCATCTGCTTGGCACAGCTCAAATATTTTCAGCGGTGGGAGAGCAGCGCTGATTTCTTCAGAGAAGGGAGGCTGTAGCCGTCTTGGAGGCGACGTTGGGACCGGAGACCCTGCCGGCTGGCGGGGCAGCGGTGCCCCTGGATGCGGAGGGCGAGCCCGTCTGCGGCCACCTCTGGCCCTCCCTGAGCGCGTGGAGCTAGTGAGTCTGCACCCCCGCTTTTCATTGTTCAGCCACCCTTGACAACGAGAGTAAGATTCTCCCTCTTCAAAAAGCTATTGCCCGGGCCACTCTTTCTGTGCCAGTTGTTTTTATAGTGTGTTAGATGTTTGGTGTATGTTGGCAAAAAGCTCTGTCTCCTCCTGCCTTCGTTCTGGAAAATTTGCTTCTTCACTGCGTTAACTGGCCCCGACTTTGGTTTTCAACTTCAGGGTTGAAACTTCGGCACTAACTTTTCCTTTTTGACTCGTGGCAGGGGGCAGGAATCTCAGGATCAATCCTGGGATCAGTGGTGGACGTGGAGGGAGGAGCTCAAGGCTGTTTAACGGGATGTTGTAAATGATAAAGGAGCTGGGGGCGCAGGGATCGTGCTTGCTGTCTCTGGGGGAGGTCACCTGCTTGCGAACAAGCTGGGTTGACTTCCCTCGCCTTTCCTCGGCAGGCACCGGCATGAGGACTGGCTTCTGTTGCTTATGATAAAGTCAGGTGTTCAGCCCATGGGGCTCAAGGCACTCTTGAAAGGACTCTTCTGCTCTTTGATATAAGTGTCTTGGCAATATTTCCCAGGCAGGGTGGGTGGGGGAAATTGGGGAGAGAATGTGCAGGATTGTGTCTGATCGCTATGTAGGCAGCAGTGAGAAGGGGGTGACGAGTCTGGCTCTAGGTGCCTCAGCCTTGCCACCGTGACATTTGGGGCCAGAAGCTCTTAGTTGTGGGAGGCTCCTCTGTGCACTGCAGGATGTTTAGCAGCACCCATGGCCTCGGCCAGCTAGATGCCAGTAGCCTCCTCCTCTCAGTGTGACAATCAAAATGCCAAATGTCCCCTAGGAGAGAAAGTCATTCCCCTCCTTTTGAGACACAAGCTCCAAGTAGATCCTGCTGTTCACTTGGAAAGGGAACAAGGAGTTTCTGCTTCTCTGTGCAGATGGTTCAAGTATTAGGAAGCTGGGAACGAGGCATTTAAGACCAGGACAATTGTTCCTGCCCAGAACATTGCCATCAGGCCCTGTACCTGCCATGGAAATTTCATCCCACAAATGGATTTCTGTTTGTCCAGGTTACTGCACACGTGGAGGGAAGAATTTGCCCTTTTCTCTGGAGCCGCAGATCTGGAAGGTCCTGCCTAGGGTCAGGCCTCTCCTTTTGGTTGCCTAGGAACAAGGCAAGGTTTCAGATGCCTTCCCTGGACCCTCATTTGGTTGGCTTTTCTCTTTTTTCTTTCCCTCCTTCCCTTCTTTCCTTCCTTTGATGAGTAATGTGGGAGACTGGGAATCCAGGACCATGGCAGGACTGTGGGCATCTGGATGGGAACGTGGAAGGGGATGCCTGCTTCTTAGGTCTCTAGTGAAAACTTCAGCAAGCACATAAGTAGAGCATTTAAAACTCAGCCTTATTTTACTTAGAAAGATGATCCATGCTGCTGCAAATGACGTCATTTTATCATCCCTTATGGCTGAGTGGTCTTCCACGGTGTAAATGTACCACAGCATTTTATCCAGGCATCTGTCAATGGACATTTAGTTT